GAGGAAGAACATAGTCACAGGCATATCTTAAAATTATTGTAGGTTCAGTTCCAGACTACTGCAGTAAAGCAAATACCACAGTAAAGTGAGTCAAATAAAATTTTTGGTTTCTCCATGCATATAAAAGTCACGTTTACACTATACTATAGTTTATTAAGTGTGCAAAAGCATTATGTTATTTGAACTTTGAAATAAATTATAAAGGTAGAATACTAATCAAAAGTTATTTTCATTCCTTCCAAGGGACTGGAATCATTAAAAAGAGAGATAGTATTCATTTAACCAGATAGTGGTGCTAACTGAACAACTTACTCTGATTAACCTTGAAATTAGAGGCTTGTTTCTAAAGGGGATTGGATGAGGGTAAAATTCATCACTACTAAGAAAACAACTTAGTGCACATCCTACTAAAAGTGTCATTTTTATACAAAAATAATGTATCAAAGAAATTAATACATAATTCTTGCTTACAAAGTCAGAAATATATATATCTTAAAGATTTTAAGTAATCTATACCGAACGTGAAGCTCAAACCCACAACCCCGAGATCAAGAGTTATGTGCTCCACTGACTGAGCCAGCCATCTGCCCCTCAGAAATATTTTTTTAAGAGTTGTGATTAAGAGTCTGAGAATAAGAGCTGTGATTAAGAGTCTCCTGAGCCAGCCACGCACCCCCAAACTCAGAAATAGTATATAGTTATAAGACTCAGTTATTTGAAGGACTAGGGTTAAGGTCTTTTTTTAAAAAAAGATTTCATTTATTTGACAGAGAGAGAATGAGCGTGGGGGAGGAGCAAGGGAGGAGGGAGAAGCAGACTCCCTACTGAGCAGGGAGTCCAACACGGGGCTCAGGCTCGACCCCAGGACCCCGGGATCATGACCCAAGCCTAAGGCAGATGCTTAACCGACTGGGCCACCCAGGCGCCCCAATGGCATTTTTTCTTGATTTCATTTTCAGTTTGTTCATTGCTACTGTATAGAAATAAAATTAATTTACTGATCTTGTACCCTGCAATTTTGCTGAGCTCATTTATTAGTTCTAATAGTTTTTTAGTTAATTCCTTAGAATTTTCTATATATACAATCTTGTCATCTGCAAAAGCATAGCATCTTTACCCTGCAAATCTATATATAGAAAGAGTCTCAGGAAACCAAGCCTTTAAGCTTAGGTTTCACCCAGAAGTAAAGAACTGGTTCCTGAAGTCCTTGGACAAACTCAGCTTATAAATATTATGAAGCCTGTCAATGATTCATAAAGGCTTTCCAAGAGCTGAAGAACCTGAACTTTCAGCCAAAAGGGTATGTACTGTAAAAAGAATAAAACTTCCAGGATTTCTAGAATATTTGTGCCACTAAAAGTTTAGTGGGCTGTCACTTGTAAGTTTTCATTCCTCGTCGAAGAATAGTGAGAAACAGGGCATATTGCAGTGGTTAAACACACTAGGACCTTAGATTCAGAAAGAACAAGCTATCAGCCAAATCTAGAGTATGAGACATTCTACTGGGCAAATGATCTGGCTTCTCCATGAAATCAATTATAGGAAGAAAAAAAAAGTATGTGTGTTGGGGGAGTGCAAGTAGGGATGTGATTGTCAAAGAATACAGTACACTTAATAACAACTAAGTGCAATGTGTAAAACTGGATACTGATTTGAATAAACTAACAGTAAAAAGACACCTTTAAACAACTGGAAAAATTTAAAAATGGACTGAATAGTAAATGACAGTAAGAAACAATTGTTAATTTTGTTTGGCATGCTAATAGCATGGTGATTATATAAACAAAATCCTCCGAGATGTATAATGACTATGAGTGAAATGATATCTGGGGTTTGCTTTAAAATACTAAATTAAAAAAAAATGGAAGAGGAATGGATGACATAAGATTGGAAAATGTTGATAATTGTTCAAGATGGATAATGGGTACATGAGGCTTCACTCTGCTACTCTCTCTCCTTTTGTATATGTTTAAAATGTTCCATAACATAAAGTTAAAAATAATGATAAAATGTATAAAAGGAGACAGAAAAACAAAAGACCTGTGTATGAGTCCTGGCTCAGCCATTTACTAGCTAGCTTATCTTGGGCAAGCTATTTGACATCTGTAAAATACCAATAACAAGAGTACTATGTGTAAGGCATTTAACATGGTATAAGCTGCATAGTAAAGCTCAATAAATGTTAGCTAATATTGTTATTATTAAAGAAATAAAAAATTATATGACAGACTTAAATGTATGATCACTTTAAAACTTATGTTAAAATATCAATCATTAATTGCAGTCTTTTTTGTAACTGAGAACACTGGAAATACAAATTTTGACTTATTGGGATTCAGTTAAATTAATTGGAATTCCATGCATCTATAAAAATAATAACATTTCTAGGTCAGGATCTATCAACTCTAGCATCATTTTGGAAATTTTATCTAATGCAAACAGAAAGGAAGAAATTAGAGATAAAAATCAGGAAGAAGAAGGTAAAATTTACCTCTGTGGGTGATACACTTGTGTATTAAAAAAAATCCAAGAGAATCAACTGAAAAATGTATAAACAAAAAGAGAATTCAAGGTAAGGTATCTGAGTATAAAAACTAACATAACAGAAATCAACAGCTTTGGGCGCCTGGGTGGCTCAGTTGGTTGAGTGGCTGCCTTCAGCTCAGGTCATAATCCTGGAGTCCCTGGATCGAGTCCCGCATCGGGCTCCCTGCTTGGCAGGGAGTCTGCTTTGTCCTCTGACCCTCCCCCCTTTCATGTGCTCTCTCTTTCTCATTCTCTCTCTCTCAAATAAATAAAATCTTAAAAAAAAAAAGAAATCAAGAACTTTCAAATATACATCTAATTAGAAATTATGTTGGAAAAGACCCCATTTAAACTGCAAAGATTAAAAAAAAACCTGCGAAAAATAATAATAAAAGATAAACATCCTGGGTTGCAAAAAGGTTAGCAAGAAATGGGCAATATCTTTAAGGGCACAAAAGAATACTTGAAAAAATATAAAGGTATTTCTTATTCTTAGATAGTACGAGTCAGTAGTATAAAGAGGTCAATTTTCCCTAATTAAGATATAAATTTAACATGATCTAAATAAAAATACTAGCAGGATTTTTGATAAATTGACAAGCTGATTCTAAAGAGCACATGGAAAAAATAAAAAGCAAGAATATTCAGGAAGAATTCTAGAAAAGGAGGGTAATAAGAGGAAGACTAATCCATTAGATATGAAAACAGTATAAATGTATGATACTGATCAAGTATACATATTAATGTACCAGGATAGAAAATCTAGGTATAAATTCACATACATACAGGAACAGAGTAAATTTGTTGTTCACATATCCATACAAAAGGAAATTCTAAAGAATGTTCTTTAGGCAGAAGGAAAAAATCCCAGATCAAAATGACAGAACAGTTCGGATTTGCCCAGTGGGGAGTCAGACATCTCTCAAGCTCATCTTTAGCACTTCCAAAGCTCAACAAAAACTACTTGCAGATTGCTGAAAGTTCTCTTTCATGCCCATACATTTGAATATGCTATCCTTTGGGCATGGAAGGCCTTTTCCCACCTTCCCATCTGCCAAACTCATACTTAACCTTCAAAAAAGTTCAGGAGTCATTCTTCTGTGCGGTATTCTTTCTTTGAGAAGAAATAGAATATGTGCTGTGTCTCCTAAATGTTGACTTTTCTCCAATTTCTTCCATCTCCATTTTGCTCTCCATCTGTTATTTGTTCTTTACAACACTGCCTGACAGAGGGATGTTGCTAAAATATAGATCTGATCATGTCTGTCTCCTGCTCAAAAATATTTGATGTCCACTAAATGCCTGTGTACCTATAGAATAAAGTATGAAGTTCTTGAGACATAGAAGGCATTCAAGGCCTTCCAGGATTTAACTCCAATCCACTTTGCTCACCTCAGTTCTACTATAGATGCCTTTGCACCCTACTCTTGGGTCACACCAGCCCTCATCATTCCTGCAGCTCTCTAGGCGCCTCTGTTCACCCAAAATTTTCTGCCTGATATTCCCTCCCTCCCTCCCCCTACCCCATCCCCACACCCATTTTTCTGCCCATTCAGATCTTTCAAAGCTCTGTTCTCATTGAAGCCTCATCTAAAATCCTATTAAGAATTAATGATTCATTCCTGAGCTTGCGTAATAGTATTTATTTCATTATGGGTGGTGTTGTTTATATGTCTGTCACTAGTCTATAACATTCTTGAGGTCAGAGCCATGTCTTACTAATATGTTTCATCCTCCTACCCTTAAATACACTGCTTACCACAGGGTAATAAATATTTACACACAAAAATAAATAATTTTTGTGTAGAATGAAATAAAATAGTGCCTGATACCTGATATTGAATAAATGTGAACTCTTTCTAGTGGTGATAATAGGTGCTCAATAAACATTTTGAGAAAAATGGCAAAACTGGTTGTGCTGATTTATTATTTTTAGTCAGCCACTTTCTTTTAGAGTTAATACTGCTTAGAAACCATTATAAAGAGTTTTAGTGTCCTCTTTTGATGACAGCAAATGTTTAGATTGTAGAACCTCAGAAAGGGCCTTAAGATATTTTTCAAGACCCAGGTTTATGTGTCACTTAATCTGGTTCCCCTACAGATAGAATTAAATATTGAAGTCTCCTTATATCCATGGAATCCCTGAAATTTAGAAAGTTCTTAGTACATAGTTAGCACTTCATAAATGTTGAAGAAATGAACAAAATAAATGAATTAGGATGAACTGTTTATGTGAGAGACTCTCCAAGCAAACTGGGAGCACATCAAATATAAGGAATACATATTTTTTGTTTTTGTTTTGTTTTAAAGTTTTATTTATTTAAATAATCTCTACACCCAACATGGGGCTCAAACTTACAACCCCAAGATCAAGAGTTGCACACTCCTCCAACTGAGCCAGGCAGGCGCCTCAGATATATGTTTTTTTCCCCATATTTCTGTCTCCAGCACCTAGCAAAGTATCTGACACAAAATGAATGTTTACTAAATAGGTATTTATTAAATTAGAGACAAGAGATAAATACTTGGTTTACTTTAAAAATGCAAAGAAGGAAAAAGAAAACACATTTCTTGTATCAAATAAACTTGTACCAAAGATCTATGGACAGATTTATGAACTGGGATGGAAAACATAGAAATTTCTATCTTCAGGATATAGAAGAAGTGAACTTGGAGACTGAGAGGTCAGGTCACCTTATTCCTCTAGGTGGTTAAAGCTAACTAGTCACTGTGAATGAGAATCTACCTGAAGATCTCTAGCCTCTGATTTTGCACAGCATCAGCCCGCAGGACAACAGTCTGCAGGACAACAGTCCACAGGACAACAGTCCACAGGACAACAGTCCGCAGGCTGTGTCACACCTCCTAGCCTAAGAATGCACACCTGTTAGGGAAATTCCTACTGCGGCCACAGTGAAAAATAAAGGCCTTGGGTGGAGAGAAGGAAAGTAGTAGGGGTGTCACTTGAAGCACAAATGGGGAAACTGAATGGACAATCTCTACATTGCTACATCTGCTTCAAGAAAAGCACACCGACTCCCTTGCAAAGTACATTAGTATGTCGCACCATCGTGGAAGGAATGGAAAAGCAGGATGAGGTTGGCTGGCTGAAGTCACATCTTGGGGAAGCTGGCCAGGTTGGCAATGCCACAAGCGTTGTTCTTATTCCGAGCCATGAGGATATAGCCTTTGTTTCCCCAGTTTTCTCCCCAGCTGTAGGACCAATGAAGGAAAATACTTAGTACCCTCAGTTTGTTTATTCATTAAAACACTTACTGACCATTGTGCTAGGTACTGATGGTATAAAACAGTTTTTACCTTTGAAGAGTTTAAAGGAATGAAGAGGAGGCATAATGCTCTATGGGCTTCAAAGGTAGGAGAGACTGCTTGTGATCAACGGATCAAAAAAGGCTTAATTCAAGAGGTAGCATTTGAAGTAAGCCCAAAGAAATGGGATGCCAGCAGAGGGAATATTAAATGAATACTAGAGGCAGGAAAGCATGGGACATGTGTTAAGATCATGTGGCTGAAAAATAGGGTGCCTCACAGGCACATAGTAGGAGATACGTCTGGAAAGGTAGATTGAGACCCGGTTGAATTATCTTTACTGCCAGCCTGAAGAATTCGACTCTGTGGCCCATCCTAGTGGAGGAGACACTGAAAGTTTCAAATTGGGAGTGTAATATGGTCCAATTCCTGTTTAAGGAAGTGTAATCTTGAAAACATGAGTCTAGAGCATAAGAAAGAAATAACAGAGGCTGAAGCAGGTGATCTTGGTCTTAGTGGGTAAACCCAAAAGGAGAGATGAATGAAACTATGAGAATGAATTAGATTGCTAAGGAAAGAAGTGGAGAGAATGGAAGACAAGGGGGCATGGGAGAGGAGACTGGTCTATATATCTTCCTAAATTGTTTTCAGTCTTTCCCCCAACCAGCAAATTCTCCAGTTACCCAATACATTTTATTTAAGACCTGCACCCTACTCCTATTCCCTTCTCTAGGAGTCTCCAGTGATCCTGATCCTGCTTAAGTGTGTCCCTTATTCCTCCCAGCAATCTTGGATGCAGGCTCCACCCTTGGCACCTGACCAGGAAAGGACAGAGTAAGTACTTGGGGCTGGGAGTCAAGAAAGGGGGAAGACAGGACAGAAGCTGTGAGAGAAGGAGCACCTTCTTAGAAAGGTGCTTGGGTTCAGCCTTAGTTGGGATGGTGATCTACACAGTCTACCCTGCCAGGCCTCTAGGCAGCAGCCCCACTTGCTTATAGCACTGTTTTGGCCTGAGAACTCCCCAGTGTTTAGGACTCCCGTTCCCTGGAGGCACTAAGGACAGAAAGTTTAGTTAGTGTTGTTGCCAGGCTGGTATTGGCCAATGAGGAAAGGAAAAGTATAATTCTCATTAAGTCTGCCCCCCAAAGTCACAAGGGGCTAAAGAGAAATGGGGAACCGAAGTACTGTGTAGTTTTATTTATTCCCAACAATAGGGAAGGAAACACTAATTTTTGTTGTTGCTGTCATATCTACTTTCCAAAAAGTGTTTCTCTTCACAGACTTCAAAATCTTCGGCCAGTTTTTATATATGTTATCCTAAGTATATCTGGACAGGCAAAAAGTTGCACAAGAGGATAATAAACCTTTACATTGGTTCCTTACTGCTTTCAAACAGATTGAAGATGGAAAGCTTCCTAAGAAACTGATCACCTTATAGAAAAAAAGAAAGAAAAAACTACATAATTCTAAACCTTCTGCTGGTTTCTTGGTGCTATTGTATGTTCTGGTTAGTTAGGTCTGTCTTTCTTAGGGGGCTCTGAGATCACTGAAGGCAAACATTCTGTTCCTTTCTGTACAACTAAGCACCTTGCATGTGGAGCAGCCGCCCAACACAGACTCTGAGTACTACTGTCTGGCCATTAAATGTTAGAATTAATAGCCTCTAATTGGGAAGGCAGAACTAAAACGTCTGAGACAACCTTCTCCTGAAGTGAGGGAAAGAAATATTGGGAAATTGGAGTTGAGGTTGAGTGTTAACAGGGTGACTGCATGACAAACTTAGTATCCCCATCATTACCTGTTTTTAATGATCCAGTGCTTGTTTCCTTTCTGGATGCCATAGCCCACTGCCAACACCGCATGGTTCAGATTATCGCTATTACAGTTTTCATCATAGTACACACCTAGGAAACAAACTATCAAGGTGAAGCTTTCTGCAGTCCAAGGGCCACCCTATAGAATCCTGCCCTGTCAAGAGGATTGGTGACAGAGAGATGGGCTGCACTGTAGCAGCTGTTCCGTTTCCCTCGGTCAGACTCAGTCTAAATGCGGAAACTAAGTACTGCAAATGCTCAGTGGCCTTCGAGAAGGTGCCAAGCCCACATAAGAGATGGTTGATTGTGCTCTCTAGGAACAGATCCTTACCTTTGCTGTAAAACTGAAAGGAGGTCAGGCTTGCATCGATGGCCACAGAGACGGGTCCCACTCGGGCCACTGCCCTCTTCAGGGCCTTCTCATTCCCCACAGGGATCTCTCTGTACCCTCTGCACTTAGCAGCCTTGCCTGTTGGGTTGTACATACAACTTTCATCCTGGAAAAAAAGGAGGTTAAAACAGAACTAGGACAAAGCAGCAGGCCAGGAACTGGTGGGTGAGAAACTCCACCAATGCTCTGAGTGATGTCAGCGAACTGACAGGGGCAGCAGACCTAGAGTCTTTAGAGAGGGTCTGTTCTCCCCTCACCATTTTAGACAACTATAAAAAAAGAACATGAAAAAGTGGATACCTTGCACATACACAAAAATCAGCTCTCGGTGGTTTTAAATCATAAATGTGAAAGAAAACATTGTCAAACTTAAGAGAGAGAACATTTTTATTCCCTCAGGGTAGAGACAGATTTCTGGAACAAGGTGCTTTTAAAAGCACAGATCATCTTCTGGCCATGTAGTACATGTAAGCCTCAGAGGGCAGGGAGTCACCAGCTGCTCTGTGGGGAGGAGGCCAAAGCCAAGGCCCAGCTAGAGGGAAGACCTGGGCCCCATATATATATACCAGGGGAACTAGTATGAGGCAAAGAGTTTTGGCTTGTGCTCTTGAAAGCACATAACATGACATTAAAGCAAATTAAAAAGGAACTTCGCAATTTAGTCTGTGCATTTCCAACATTATGTTCTGGAGGTCCAGTTAACAATAATATGTTTCACTGGCAAGCCACAGTTACGAAGTCTTATGGCAAACCATGTCAAGGTGGTGTATTCTTTTTGGCAATTCATTTTCCTTCAGTCTACCCCTTCAAAACCCTAAAGTTGAATCTATAAGAACACGTTATCTAACTATTAACAATAATGGCAGCATTTGACATGGTATTCTAAGATTACAGTAGTCTCCTGTCTTAATTTCTCAGGATTCCTTTGTTTTCTGCCATATAATCCAAACCTTGATGCCTCCTAGTGCCAAAAATTGTGCAAATCTATAAGTAAATAAAAATATCTCGGGAATGGATTTGGAAGAATGTCATGTGATGATACTTGGAAGTCAGAATAAGCTGCATTATGGCTGGAATGAACTTAAATTACTATATTACCTGACTGCTGCTCTATCAGATCTCTTTTCAAGTTTTATTTTTCTTTACTTCCCTCCATTCATTCATGTGTTAATATGAGAAGTTCTTTTAGTTTTAGATAATAACTTCTTTTAAAAACTGTAAAGTAGATATAAGCTCAAGATTCATAATATTAAAAAAAATAGAATATGGGTGTGCCTGCCTGGCTCAATCGGTAGAACATGTGACTCTTGATCTTGGGGTTGTGAGTTCGAGCCCCACGTTGGGTGTGGAGATTACTTAAAGATAAAAATCTTTAAAAAAATAATAAATAAATAAAATAAAAATGGAATATGTGTCTTATATGGCTCATTCTTCATTTTAATTGATTATGAGACCAAAATCATTCCACATTGCTCTCAAATGTTGAAGAGATCATTTGAGGGGGCAGGAGAACAGAAATTAGAAGTCAGATGCTCTTTCTATTCCAAATTAAGGTTTCAGATATTATGTAAATTTCATTTATTCAAACTGTCTGAGCTATTAAAGTGTCTCTCAACAAACTGATTAATATAGTACCATGTAATCGATATAAGCTGTCAATGGATGAGTAATCAACTATTAGTTCTGGTATTTAATTTTTCTTTAACATAGTTACACAATCCTTTAAATTGGCTGCCTGGATTAATTAATATGGAAAAAATTGTAAACGTATACCTGGTTTGGGGTGGGGGTTTTTTTGTATATACTGTTGGGATTTAATTTTTAATGATTTATTTATTTGAGAGAGAGAGTGAGAGAGCATGAGTGGAACGGGCAGAGGGAGAGGGAGACAAAGTCTCAAGCAGACTCCACACTAAGCATGGAGCCCTTTGCAGGGCTCAATCTCACAATCCTGAGATCATGACCTGACCCAAAACCAAGAGTCTGACACTCAACCAACTGTGCCACCCGGGTGCCCCAGAATTTACATTTTTTATATCAAGTGACAACAAAAAGTCATCAAAAGAATAACAATTTAAAAAAGAATATTTTGGGGTGCCTGGGTGGCTCAGTTGGTTAAGTGTCTGTCTTCCCCTCAGGTCATGATCTCAAGGTCCTGGGATGGAGCCCCACATCAGACTCTCTGCTCAGTGGGGAATCTGCTTCTCCCTCTCTCTCTGTGCTCGTGTGTGTGTGCTCTGTCTCTCTCTCAAAGAAACAAATAAATCTTTAAAAAAATAAAATTAAAAAATAAAAAAGAGTATTTTGCCACAGTCAGGTTATCTTACTGACTGGCCTGATGTAGTCAGAATTTAAAAGCTAATCTGTTAGGGCAGCTTTAGTATGGTGCCCTAAAGTTAGCACCTTATTGTAAGTAGCAGCTCCAGAATTCAAATATGGACTTAGGACCCAGGAGTTCTGAAAATTGTATACGGATTAAAGAATTTTCTTTTTTAGGTACAAACTCTAATTTCTCTGCCTTGTATACCTGATAGCTAAAAAACCACAACATGGAATAATAATGGGATGAAATTTACAAATTAATGTCTGTTTTGGTGTGGCCAATGTCCACGAAAATATGTTGAAGTGACTTTACTATATAGGTTGTTGAGTATCCAGTGAAATGGATTTGTTCAGTCATTTACATTAATGAGCATTTATTGCAACAGACATAATTTGAGATAATTAAACATGAATGAATAAAACTCATTGCTACTGGATTTTTTTAAAGACACAAATTACAAAGGAAAATAATTTTACTAGTCTGAAATTAAGAACTTTACCTGATTTGAAAGATATAAAAAGACAAATGTTCAAAAAAAAAGACAAATGTTCACCTAAAACACACACAGTATTCATATCAGATATCTTTTTAAAATTCCTAAAAATCAGTGAGAAAGAGAAAAACAACCTAATTAAAAATGTACAAAAGATATCAACAGTCAATTCACTGAAGAAGAAATGCAGATGGCCAAAAGAACATTAAACATACTAATGAAGATGGGAATCAATGGGAATTCTTATACAATTCACGTGGGAACATAAATGTTTCCAAACAATTTGGTAAACAATTTGTCATTATCTAATAAAGTTGAAGATGCATGTACCCTAAGACTCAGACAATTCTGTTCCAAGGTATTATATTCTACTAAAGAAAATCTTGCACATTTACATAGAAGACATGTTGGAAATGTTTGCAGCAGATGAACTGATACAGTAGATAAATCTTGGCGCTGCTACATGACTAGTGGTATGAATCTGAGCATGCTACTTATCTCCTTCAGTGTCAATTTCCTCACCTATAAAGTGAGGATAAGTTTACCTTACATGTCTGTTATGAAAATTAAATGGGAAAATGAACTAAGCACATGGCTTAGTACATAGTAGCCATCAATCTTTTTTTAAGCTTTTATCTATTTACTTGAGAGAGGGAGAGTGAGTGAGAGAGAAAGAGAGAGAACAAGTGGGGGGCGGGCAGAGGGACAAGCAGACTCCCCCATGAGCGCAGAGCCTGACGCAGGGCTTGACCCCAGGACCCCAACCAAGATCATGACCTGAGCAGAAGTCAGATGCTTAGCCAAAAGCCACCCAGGTGCCTGCAGCCATCATTCTTATTATTCAAACTTGCTATCTCTGCTTCAAAAGCTTCTATTGCAAAAGCCCTATGCAACCCTATTATCTATCAACCCCATGTATATAAAAGCCCTTAAATCTTCCTTTTAGATAAGAAAGGTCTCCTTCCTATTACTGAGGAAGTGAATTAATCTCTAAAGTTAAAAACAAGTATGAAGCAACTTATGTTTTCTCTCATTTTGTACATGTCAGCATGTTAACTTACATAATTTACATAAACATTCCCAAAACCCATGCTGAGATCATGCAAAATAAAGGCACATGATTCAGTAAATTAGTGTGGCAGGTTTGGGATTTGTGACAGGAGTGGAGGAGCTGAGCAGGAGGTTGCGGAGGCATACTCAGATGTCTGTGGGGTCACCTGTGCTCTGTTTTCTCCAGGGTAAAGAGACAGAGTTATGGTGGCCTAAGCCCCCCAAATCTGGGCTGTGGCAATCTTCTTGGCCTTCTCTGGGAAATTATCCTATCAAGAAGGCAGGATAGGGGAACAGAAAACAGTATTTCTGGAATTGTTTCCAGTACAAAATATCATGTTGGGGGAACGGGGAGCCTTTACTCTGAGCTGTGTAACTGTGTGGTGCGGTCTCACCTGTCCCACATATGGGTAGGCATCTTCAGAGTCAATGCCCCGGTTCTTCTGCACATACTGGAAGGCATTGGTCATGTAGCCCCCTCCGCAGCCATCATTCTCAGAAACACAGTCCACCAGGTTCTGTGGACTCAGATTTAAGAGTTTGCCAGTTTTCTTCTTGAGTTGGCCCTCCAGGGCACCCACAGAGCTAAAAGCCCAACAGGAACCACACTGACCCTGAGAGGCATAACAGAGCAACTATCAATCACTGCTGTTCACCTTTTTGTTTCTTCCCTCTAAACTGCCTGATGAAATTCCAGCACACATGTCCCCTTTTCTATGAAGTCTTCCTATTTCCCTTTGTTTAATATTTGTTACATTTTTCTATTGTTTTTGTTTGCATTGATAACTGTTGTTACCATTGTTACCATTGGCTGTAGTGGGGTGGAGCACTGGCTTTGCAACCCACAAGATCTGTGACCTTGGGGAGGTTACTAAACGTCTCTGTGCCTTATCTGTAAAATGTGGATGATTACTCAATTATGGATTATGGAGATTTAAAAAGTTAATTCATGTAAAGGATTTAGAGGTTTCTGACACACAACAATCTCTCAGAAAGTGCTATTACTATTAGTGTTTGTTCAGCTAGATTATACATTTTTCTTTCTTCCCTGTTCTATTTTTTAGGACTGAGGATTTCTTGAGGACACGGGTTATGTCTTAGTCATCTTGAATCTCCACCGCCTAGCACTATACCTGGTGGGTTCTGAAAAAGTTGTTTGTTGAATGAATGTTAACTCAGTTGTTGATCTGGTTGATATAATCAGCATTGTTAAGATTGAGGGGAAAGTGGCATTCTCCTGCTGGTGAGAATGTTAAGATCGTAAAAAAAAATTTTTTGGAAATGGTTCCCTGTGACCTAGCAGTTCCAATTTTAGGGTTTATTTTGCATAAATATTTGCACATGTATATGAAAACATATGCACAAGGGTGCTTACAACAATACTACTTGTAAAAAAGAAAAAAACAAACAACATAAATGTACAAAAATAGGCGATGACTTAAATAACAGAATAGGCTATATTCTCTTAGCACTGGGAGAGATCACTTAATTCCTTGCCCTCTCTTCCTAGTTCCCTCCTACCTTAAGAACAAAGAAGCAGAAAGAGGTCATGCCAGGAGAAAGGAGAGTACCTGGTTCTTGACAGGAGTAACATATCCTTTCTTTCGATAGTCAATGGAGTCTGGAGCTCTGCTTTCCCAGTCTGGGATATAGAAGGTATCATTACTGTGGGAATGAGAGGGGGGTACTTTGAGTCCAGTCATCTTCTGAACCACCTCTTCACTGGTCTGGGACGAAGAACAAAAAGGCAAGACATTAGCAGGGAACTAAGGCAAACAGGGCAAGTAGGCCAGGAGCTGAGGTTCAACTCACCAAACACAACAAGCGCCCCAAAGCAACCCCATACCCAGGAACACCAAGACAGACCTCAAGATGATGCAGCCAAAGACAAGCCAAGCTCTATACCCAAAGGAAACACCGAAAAACCACAGCCACCTAAACAAAAAAAACTAAGGAAAGCAACAGAACAGCAACGGGCCAGAAAACCACAAAAGGAACACGGTGGAGGAGCTGAAAAGAGAAAACGAAACTCACAATCACAAAAAGCCCACAGTCAAGCTGAAGAACTCAACAACGAAAAACAAAGAAAACAGAAAAAGAAATATAAAAAAAAAAAAAAAATAAAACCCAAACCTCGACACACACGCACACAAAATCGCACATGGATCAAAAGCATCAATCGGAAAAGACTCCCACAAAAAGAAAAGTCACAAAGAACAAAACTTCAGGAAAGCTCACCAAAGCAGTACAAACGAAACTGTATGTGAAGGCAGAGAACAGGGGAAAGGCTCCTAAGAAGGACAGGGTAAGGTACCCAAATAGAAGAAAAAAGCCGGAAAATTAAAACTTGAAGCCTCCAGCCCAAAAACCCCAACAATACTACCCACCAAACCCCAAACAAACGACACAGTATACGCCTGCACGGACGACGCCCTCCATAGCTCCAACAAAGCGCCCAGCATCTAATCAGGAAAAAAAACAAAAAGCACAATGCCAACCAGAAGAAGAACCCCGCGCACCCACACCATACAGAAGAACAGAACAAGAACAAATTCGGCGACATGCCAAGGGGAACCTCAGCTCCTGGCCTACTTGCCCTGTTTGCCTTAGTTCCCTGCTAATGCCTTGCCTTTCTGTCCTTCGTCCCAGACCAGTGAAGAGGTGGTTCAGAAGATGACTGGACTCAAAGTACCCCCCTCTCATTCCCACAGTAATGATACCTTCTATATCCCAGACTGGGAAAGCAGAGCTCCAGACTCCATTGACTATCGAAAGAAAGGATATGTTACTCCTATCAAGAACCAGGTACCCTCCTTTCTCCTGGCATGACCTCTTTCTGCTTCTTTGTTCTTAAGGTAGGAGGGAACTAGGAAGAGAGGGCAAGGAATTAAGTGATCTCTCCCAGTGCTAAGAGAATATAGCCTATTCTGTTATTTAAGTCATCACCTATTTTTGTACATTTATGTTTTTTCTTTTTTACAAGTAGTATTGCTGTAAGCACCCTTGTGCATATGTTTTCATGTACATGTGCAAATGAAACAGCTGGAGCTATATTCCCAGACAGGTGGTTCTTAACCTTTGGGAGTCATGGACTCCTTTGAGAAGCTAATAAAATATTGTAACCCATTATAGTCCCATTCACCCGAAAAATGCATGCACACACAATAATTCTGAGGAAATCATGAACCCAAAGATAAGAATGTCTTCCTTGGGACCATGATGCAAAGGAAAACAAGGATTTATAAGGAAAGAATACAAAGAATTGAGGGTTATTTGCATATGATAAACAATGATAGGAAGGGTCTGGGTTTGGACTGGGTGCTGATACATCTGGTTCCAAGTATTTTGACCTAGGGAGATTACACTTACACACACACACACACACACACACACAAAACCCGAAATGGGATAGAAAAAGGACAGTCAGAATGGACTCTTACACTTAAACACACACACACACACACACACACACACAAAACCAGAAATGGGATAGAAAAAGGTCAGAATGGACTCAGCACTTGTTTCCTCCAATGTCCCCTGCAGACTTGAAGGAGATGGACAAGGTTGGAGGTTGGAAGGGGGTTGGAGAATACACAAAGGAGAGATTTCCAGCTAAGTTTTGCTTCCTGATCATTTCTTCAAGGCATTATTTACTCCCTTGCCCCAAATTGATACTTTCCCAGATCTTGCCAGGAGAGGATCCGGAACAGCTGACAGTATTTCCTATTCTCTCAATGTTTACTGTCTCCTTAGTCTTTTGCATTTGTTCCTCCTTTCTCTTCCTGCTCCCTCCTCAGGCAGGAAACTGCCCCTAATCTCAACCAGATGCTGTGGGCAGTAAAGTTTTTCTTTCTTTTCCTGACAACAAAAAACCTCTGTGATTGCCTCAGAGGCCAAAAAGCTTCAGAACCAAAGTTTGTTAGAAGAATGTAAGACAAAAAAGCAGTGTTCTATGATCATTAAATTCACAGCTTTCAGTTTACTCTAGCTTCACTCATTTCTTACAGTAGCTTGCTTAATTCCATGTTCCTCATTTTAAGAACAATTTACAGTCGAAGCAAGTTATACAGCTTGCATCATTTTTGATTTTACAGTCCCATTTTTGTGTAATCTTTACAGACTGGCAAAACATTCAACAAGACATTTAATATCTGGAGTGTTAAGGGCTTTGAGACAGTGTATAAAAGCACCTCTGGGCACCAGTCCTCCTCCCTGCTAGTAAGTTAACCCTTTTGGTACCTTTGGCCAAAACAGAAAACCCTACAAGGAGAGGCCACTCTTTAAGGGATGGGCAAAGGATTCCCCATATCCTTAGCTTTCACTAACAACTATGTATACATACATATAAATCGTAGCAGGAATCCTAAAGATTTCCAGGCAAATTTTATTTGGCCAGGAAATTACCTAAAATGGGCATATTGCTGTTTTCACCTACACAGCCTACAAATCTCAACCTTATCCCCAAGTCACTACATCCCCAATACCCCTAAGATGGAGAAAGGAAGGAATGAGAAGCTAAAAGATCTAGCAAGTAGAAAATGTTACCTTCTGATAGGGATCTGTACTCTGGGCTCCGTTCGCTGGGGCGTGTGGATATGTGGGCGGATGACTAGGGGTGCTGGATTTATTCCATCAGGATTGCGGAAGTCAGTTTCAGCTGTGGGTTGGAAAATTTGAATAGGGGAGGGAGGCGGGGAAAGAAATGCTGAGAGAAGCAGGGTTGGGGAGGGAAGGAGGCAGCGGATTTGCAGTGTATCTGTGTGAGTGTGGAGTGTGTGCGCCAGGGTGGAGAGTTGCTAGGTATTTAGTTTCACATGACTGTCTTTGAGGGCAGACAAAAGACTTCAATACACATTACACAAGCTGGGGCTTACCTTCACTTTGATGGTTAATAGGACACAGTCCTAGTCTCCCCCATCCTTCTTTATTATATGGTATTTATTATATTGGGGATTACATCTTCTCCTGTCCTTTTCCTGTTATCACCCACCTCTCCAACTTTGAAACCTTAGTTTTCAAATTTGTGTCTGACCCTCACAGCAAGGATGAGGGAATAAATACAAAAGACTAGGAAAGAGTATGTAGGAAGCCAAAGGCTCCAAAATCACTTGTAGTTTATAAGCTTGTTGGCTAAAAGTTGTCAGTAGCTCTCCCAGCCTAATAAGGTTTTGCTGAGGAAGGATAGGCCCAGAAAGTCCAGATGAAACTGGTTCTAACAAACAAACAAAAAAAACAAACAGTACTCCGCGTTATTAATGACTTTACTTGAATCAATGCCATAAGCACTGACAAACTCACATGTGACTTCTTTGTTGCTAAAATTCTCAGATGGTGGGATGCCTGATGAACATTATCTGTTTCAATTATTAAAATCCCTGATCCAAGACCTGTCATGTGAGCTTCTCCAAATGATTCCAACATCCAGGCATGTGACAGATCATAAGAGTCTAGTTCAGTCCCTAAACCACATCCCCAAACTCCCATTTTCTTCCATAAATAGAGATGGGGGAAGAGGAAAAGATGGTCCTTGGAACAGAAAAGATAATACATAGGACAGATTCAGTTCTAGCTGGATTGCATATATAGACCCTCAAGAACACAGGTTTATGCCTGTAAGTTTTAAGATTTGCTAATGAACCATATGGTTCTAGAGGGAAACCAAGTCCAGACCTGAATAGTTTAAATTTCCCCATCCCTAATTCCTTTTAATCCAGGAGAGCAAGACATACTAGGGGGAAGGGGTCCGATGTGCCATACTGGTCTCAAGTCCCATCCCCAACTCCCATCTCATGGTCAGATGTCCCTGCTGATTTTACTCAGAATGAGTCAGGATCAGGAGGACAATCAAAGAGTGCTGAGTGTTCAGAGCCCTATGATTTCTGAATCCTGAAATTATAGACACACTGTGCTTTATGTCTGCATATTTGGAGTTCAAGCTATGGATTCAACTAATTGTGGGTATTTGTTGTTTATGAGCTGGAAAGGAATAATAAAGCCGCAATCAAGATCACACAACACAAGGAAGTTTACAAAAGGAAAATATTTTAAAATCTTTGCTACATGTCATTATTTTTGCCACTGTAAAGCTCAGCACAGATGCCAGCAGTACAGAAATGGCCAACAAGAAAAAAAACAAAACAATCAAAAATAAAACCCTGAAGGAAAAGCAGAAACAAAACCCCCAGAGCATCTTCGCCCACCCCTCTCCTTCCCCAAAAGCCCTATAATAACTGTACAATATTATAGTCCTGATCACATTTAAAAACAGTCAATTATTAAAAAACAAGGATTCCATTGGAAACTCAACTTTTTGGTTTCTTAAATTGTGATATAAATATATATGTATACGGTATGTGTGCACATAGAATAAAAAAATAAACTGTCTCCTTTTCAACTCCACTACCTGGCACCAGACTGGAGACAAAAGGGAGAGAAACCCAGTAAAGATGCTCTCTCAGCCTCTCTAAGGCCATCTGTGCTCCTCAGTCTCCTATGGCTATGTTTAATATGTCTTCTCCTTATTTAATCTTGCACTTAAGATACTGGCCTGAGCCAATCAAAAAAAAAAAAAAAAAAAAGGCTGATACATATGACTGTTACCTGAGGAAGGTAAAGAGTGAGAGTAGTAACCGGTATCTGCATTTTATATGGCTATAGTTAACTCAGTGACCCTGTCAGAATGGGAGTCCAGGCCCCATCTATCACATGGATTTATACTCTTGCATCAGAAAGCAAAATCCAATCTTAAGATTGGAGGGAGTAAAAGGAAGAACTATAGGTCCAGAAAAGACCTAAGTCTCAGTTTCTAGCCAGACTGAATTGAGAATGGTATGAAAGAGGCTACCTTGCAAGAAGGCTTGGTATTTGGTTTGAACTCCAGCAGTGAAGATTTCACTGGGACTGCTAATCCAAGAAGTTGAGTTTCCATGCAGAAATAACCTCTACAGAACACACATCATATGTGATTCTGACAGAAAAATGCAGCAAGTATGGCCAAGTATGGGGTTTTTGAAAGGGGTTTATCTTCCCACCCTAAACACCTGTAATGTTTGCAGATCTTCCATATAAGGTGAGAGCACCAAAAGCAGGAATGACCCAGCTTTACCACTAAATATGTTCGATGAGAGACCAACCGTATCAACAGAAGACTTTATATATTTGCTTACAGTTGCATACTGGCTGGGCATTGATGTAAGTGCAGCAAAGACATTTATTTAAATACTCTTTGGCTGCAATACTAAGTGGAAAATACCTAGAAGATTTAACTCCTTAAGGACTCTTTCAAGAATACACAGAAAAACAAAGATAAAATCTGGGACAAATTTTGCATAACTCCCTAATAGGGAGAAAAAAAACAAACACAGAAACACACGTGTGCACATATATGGGCGCACACACACACTCTTTCTCCCTCTTCCTCTCTCACTTCCTCACTCACCAGGCAGCAGAAAGAGCCTACACTCACTTGCTGAAGCCCTATATATACCTACCATGTTTCATGGTCCTCAAATCTGAAGACATTTCTCCTTTCCCCCACCTTATTCAGAATTTCTTTCCAAAAACAAGCCACAGTATCCAAGGCAAATAGTGGATGTCAGGTTCTCTAACCTGCCTCTTGACCCTAGCACAATCATTTCTGCACAAATCTCTGGTCAGGAGACATAAGGAAAGGCATTCTTAACTTCACCCAGCCTCAGTTTTCAAAGGATCCCCAAAGCCTTCAGGATTCGCTTCATTTCTTCTATAAATGTTATCTCAGAGGCAGAAGGGCAAGGAAAGGCCCAAAGGGGAAGGGGGTACACATTAGGGGTGAGGGAAGGGAAGGGAGAGGGACTTTTATTCTCTTTACAGAAAAGCTTTGCTTTTTAAAAACAAACAGTGATTTTTCTCCCCCACCCCTTATCCTCACCCCAACTGTTCTATTCTGAAAAGGAGGGAAACATAGTTAGGTCAGGGAATTCTTCGTTGTTGTAGCTGTTGCTCTGGTCTCCCAGCATGGACAGCATCTCCTGATAAGAGAAACAGAGCAAGTCTGGTCACACACCTTAATCCCTCACATTTATCGAGCTTCTTCCCAACATCACCCCTGGCCCCACAGAGTTTCTGTGGGGCTGAGCTCCCTGAGCCTTCCCTACTCCCAGGAACTCTCAGATTCCTTTACATAACAATTTTGGTTTCTAGTCCCTTCTCTGGCTTCCTCCTACAGTTCCACATTTTTCCTCTTTTCTAGTCTTCCATATTTTCAAAAGGAGAAAAATCTGCTTGCCACATTTCATATAACCCCCTATGAACACATATGCAGTACCTCTTACCCTATTTGTTTTCCACCAAAACCTGTTTTGCCTTCTTTCAACCTGTTTTAAATGAGCTCTTCTTTTGTCCTAAGATTACTCCATGTGCTCTTGCAGTCCTGTCAGGACTTAGGCAAATGGGCCTTTATAGCTACAATCAGTATGTTTATACCCAAGCTACTGTGCAGTGGGGATGTGGCTCTCCTTGAATGGGCTAGAATGACTTCCTTTAACATCTTCACATGGTGCTTCACATCACTAAAAATGGTCTGGTTAAAGGCTGTGCATCACACATAAGTTCCAGTTAACGACATCTATCCCTACACGTCCCCACTGTGGCTTCTCCCACAAACTCCCAAACACCTCAGTCCATATGCATACTACCTTCTCTGTCTCTGCTCCCTGACCCTCTCTCCTCCAGTTTCTGATTTTCTGAAGTCTTTTCACCCTCTCACCTGGAAGACCTCAGGCTGGCCAGGTTGCTGTGCTGATGGCTGTTGAACATGCTGCTCATTAGAACTCGACCGATGATGAGGTTGCTGGCCCTGCCACTGTGGCCAGACACCTACACCCTCTGCTGTCCGTGTCTGGAATTGTCCTGTAGTCTGTCCAGTCTCAGGAGCTAGAAATATAGCAAGGACGAACAACCAACCTTAAGCCACTAATTCCACTGGTGAGGAGAAACTAGCACTTAAATACTTTATGCTCTTCTGTTAATCAATGCCTCTTCTTTTTCAAAACCTAGCCCCAAATTAATTCTTCTCTGGGTAGCCTTTCCAAAGAGTTCTTTGATCATGTAGATTAAATTTGCTTATTATTTAATATATAATACCTTATGTAGTTGTTTTTTTTTTTTTAAGATTTTATTTTTTATTTATTTGACAGAGAGAGACACAGCGAGAGAGGGAACACAAGCATGGGGAGTGGAAGAGGGAGAAGCAGGCCTCCCACGGAGCAGGGAGCCCGACGCAGGGCTTGATCCCAGGACCCCGGGACCATGACCTGAGCCAAAGGCAGACACTCAACCGACTGAGCCACCCAGGCGCCCCACCTTATTTGGTTTTTTATGTTCTAAAGTCTTCCTCATGTGGGTACATTTTAAATTCCAAATGGACTGTCACTGCACCCAGGACACAAGCAAACTGTTTTAACTGCCAAATCCTTTCTCTTTCGTGGTGTCATTTTCCTGTTTACCCTCCTTTCTCATCTGAAACTTACCAAAGTTGGATCCACGACTGGTGAGATTAGGGTAGGCAGCAGCACCAGGTGATGCAGTAGAAGCACCAGGAAGGGACATGGGGCTGAAGGAGGACGGAGTCTGAAAGTTGCCCACACCAAACTGGGAAGAACGAGTCTTGGCTGTAGCCTGAGTAGCCACCTGCTGAAAGAGAGAGGGATAGAGAACAAATGGAACATTATTGCACATGCCATTTCCTATGAGTCAACCCTCTGTCAATCACTGGATTCTTCTGAGCCAAGCTCATCACTTATTTCTTACTCTTTCTTCTAATTAATATCAATCTCCTTTGACACTACTTTTACGCAGGTATGACAAAGTGCAAAGAGCGAAGAACTATGGGATTAATAAACTATACATTGAGAGTTGTGAGAATTTTTCCAGTTTTTATTTTCCTATAGATTTCTTATGCAATTGAGATCATACTGCATATAACAATTTTGGAATATGCTTTTTGGTTTGGGCTTTTTTACTGAAGATATTACTGTGCAATATAAGCATATATTAATATATGAAAAAATATTAGCTTTAAGCTTATCATATATATAATACTTATTATATATATAAGACTTTTAAACACTTTTTTTAATAAATAGACATCACTGTGTGTAAATTATAGTTAATTTTCTCCTTTATTCCTATGCTTACTAGTACAAAATGGAAACTCAGAATTGACTCCAAAACAAATCTGTAAATCAAACCTGTTTAACATGTTCTGTGTGAGCAATTCTGAATAAAAGTATATGAAAACCACGGATTCTGAGATTTGGGGATTATCTATGTTTTTAATTATCTAGCTACTGCCAACAAAGAGAAAAACTGGAAGGTAGGGGGTGGGGGTTGGGGAGAAGCTAAGATAGATGACAGTAATTTTACATATGGAAAAAAGCCCA